CATTCTAGTCTACTCAGAAACCACAGGCAAGCACTTTGTAAAACAATGGATAAAACTTCCTGGTCCTCCTCTAGGAAACCATCTGACAGTTATGCCTGTGTAGGTCTCTTCAGACCTCCTGAACAGGCACATTTCTGGTTTAGCTACCTATAAGAATGAAGACCCACAGCAAGCAGCAAAGAAGGAGTAATGAGATGCTGGTGCCAATGTGTAAACACTTCCAACACCTGTTTCCCAAGCTTGAGTCACCTAACAGTGTTCTGTTCAATAAGAAATTGAGTAAGTTTATTTAGAAATATAAAGCAGTAACCACCTGAGCTCTAGACAAATCACCATCTACTCCTGTGGCAGGTAGGGTGATTTGCCTTTGTGGTCCCAGGTATGGAGGACTGGTAAATCACTTGGTCCTAGCCAATGCTCTAACAATAAAGGGTACTATAGTCAGCACTCTACCCATGGGTTCTACATCCACAAATTCAACCAACTATGGACCAAAAATACTCTAAACATTAGATAGAACAGTAATAAATAGTAACACAAACAAAATGTATAGTGTAACTACATAGCATTTTCACTGTAGTGGGTAGAAGTAACTTACAATAGATGACCTGAAGTCCCCAGAAGAATGTTTGCAGGTTAATGCAAATGCTAAATCACCTTATATACAGACCTTAAGCATTTGAGGGTTTTAGTACAGGGGAGGCCCTGAGACCAATCCCTTGAAGAATTCAAGGGATATCTATCCTTACACAAAGATCTTAAAACAAAACAAAGGTTTTCAAATAAAACTTAAAGGGAATAAGGAAACACACTTGGATACTCAATGGAACCAAATTGGGGTTTATTTTACACAGTATCTGATTCAGAGATGTGTCTTGTCTAGTTGTAATACAAAAACGAATACTAAAAACTAGTTGGTGAATTAACATGCAGATCTGGACAGCCCAGAGACCGAATGTGTCATTAGGAAATCCCTCACTCTGAGCTCGTATGCAGCCAGTAATTGTAAGGCAACCAACCTACTCCCCAAGGTCCCTGAACAACGAGGACAGGCCCAATACTGGATGACTTGAGTTTATGGATTTCCACTTTAGAAACAAAGGATTCAGTGTGTGATTCAAATGGCCAGTAGGGAAGAGCCTCAGATCTGTCTCATGGAGGCCTACAATGAAGAAATGCAGCATCTGGCTGCTTCTGGGTCTAAATCTGCCAGCATCAGAGAAAACCAGGTAATGCCTGAAGTTTCTCTGATTACCAAAGCTGGTGATTTATTCAACGATGGGTTAAGTTAAAATAAAACCTAATTTTACAACTTAAGTAAAACACGTTGAACATACAGTGATGTTAAGTTTCAGTCCAGGGAGATTAAGCAGGAAATGTGTTTTTAATGACTATCTCAGGAAGAGTTTTGTGTTCGATAGCAGAGATAGCCGAACCGTGTCATGAAGCTTCTGGATTAGTTAAAGAGTTTTCCCCAGCACTATGTTCACTGCCTCACTCTCATGCTCCTTCTTCCAGGTATCTGACTGAAGGACAGCACTAAGCTGTGCATTTATTTTTCTCACAGTGATCAACTAGATTCCATTGTTTCTTTCAACTGCAGCCAAAGATCAAGGTTTTTCGGGTACGTAAGAACCACCTCCATCCAAGATTCTTACTTTTCCTCCATCTACACTGTGACTCTTGGTCACCATCACCCTTTCCCACAAGGACTGGAACCTGTTTTGAATACAAGGATCTGTTCTGCCCCCTTTACCTCACCTGCCCTGGCAAACACAGGTAACTCCATAAATACTTGCTGATGGAAGAAAGGGAAATGGGCACACAGCGCACAAGCGGAAGGGACAAAGACAAACCATTCAACAAAGTAGCAACTCTTGGCCAACCTCTCCAGTTTTTTCCCCCAGCCCCCAAAAGCAGCTGTGAACCCCAGGTCTCCTGATATAACAGGAATAAAGCAGCTCTGCAGAACAGGTTTTAGCAGCACATGCTATATAAGACACCAAGGAGTGGGTACCACAGGCTCCAGCTATGAACTTGTTAATTCTTTTTGGGGACCAAAAGGGGTTTTTGTCATAGGCCAGCTTGGGGCAAACCAGTAATATTTTTAAGACACTCTAAAACACAATTTGGGCTGGCTGCCTTCAGTCTAAGTCAGCTAACAATGTTATCCAGAGTTTTTACTATTTTTTCTAGCAGCTTCCATATTACACTAAAACCAGTTTTGACAAAAATTAACTCATTGGGGAAGGAGAGTGCCCCTTCCTCCACCTTCTTTTTTGGTACCAGGGATCGAACCTGGGTCCTTGTGCTTGTGAGGCAGGTGCTGGAACCACTAAGCTAAATCCCCATCCTGCTCCACCTTCTTTATGACATAAAACATTCAAAATCTGTAACTTCTCCCATGCGCCTAGCATTAAACAATGCCTATTGGTCATAAAGGTCTAGTAGAGTACACATACTATCTTTGGTCTCAGGCCCATAAAAGTCCTTTGGTAACTGAAGACAGCAGAGAACAAACTACTGAGCCAGTGACTTCTGACAAAGCAGGAAGCACTGGAGAAGGCCCATCTCTGACCTACAAGTTACACTGCTAAAGAAATTATGAAATCACTGCCTTAGAACAAACATGGCCTGCGGTCAAGACCCTATTCTGCCTATTTCCCAGAGTGAATCAGCAGCAGTTAACAACACACACTTAAGAAAACCAAAGGAAAAAAGCTTTTAATTAATAATCGACAATAAAGGGAGCCTTCTCTTCTTAAAAAAAAACACAAGCCCATAATTTACAAAAGGTATCAAAAGTCTGATTCAAGGAACTGTGTAAAACTCAGGAAAGTAACGGATTTACAACTAAATTAACACATGCAAGCTTTCTCTTTTAGCCAAAATTTGGCTTTGACATTGAAAAAAAATTTTTCATGTAATTGACAATTAGTAACCATACATAGATGACTCTACAGCTTAGCAGGGACAAGGGAAACTGCTGTTAAAAAGTATAATCAGAA